TCCACTTGCCTCAGCCTCCCAAAGTGCTGGGATTACAGGCGTGAGCTACCGCGCCTGGCAAGAATTTCTTAATATTAAAAAAATTGTAATTACAAAGCCAGGAATAGCATATTGGTTTTCACTGACCAAATTTCAATAAAACACCAGGATATATCCATGAACATCTCACCTAAGATCCCGGTCTTCCTCTCCATGAGCATCCAAATACACGGAACCCCAGAGGCAGAAGCGGTGACCTCGAATGATGATAATTACTGATGCATTGATCAAAAGGAAAATACCTGTTCCTGCACCACAGTTCTGAGAATGCTAAAAAATTAAAAATATATTAATGAACTTCATAATCAAATAGGCTTTATAATCAAGAATATCTTAATGCCTTCTAAATAATACAGTGACTTAAAAATAGTAAGATTTCATTGAAGTTTAACTTATAACTCCAATGAAACTTTATTATTAATACATTAAGAGGAATTTGGGTAAGGAATATCTAGTAAAGCAATTAAGAGCCAATCTAATTCAGAGTCTAGTATCTCCAACAGCACAGATGACTTTTGTTTCACAGCACATTCCCAAGTATATACCATTAAAGGATAGTAGGTGAAAGGAGAACTAGAATTGTACTTAAGGAAGGATTTACTCACTTAAAACCTCAGAGACTTTGTTTTTTTACTGTTCTACTGGATTAAAAAACACACAATCCCTGTATGTATTATATACTTAATTCAAAGAGTAGTTAAATATGAAGAGCTGGCTTGACCATATTTTCCTTGTGCTATGAGATCTATGTTTTCATAAATTTTGTATTATCTATTATTGCTTACCAATACACATTCACAGTAACTTTGTTGCTTGCAGCAAAGTCCTTTCAGGCATACAAAAGTACCACACACAAGGCAAACAGCAGGATCTTTAGGAACCTTGGTGCAGACACTACAGGTTTTTCTGTGGTAGTACTGAAAAATGGTGTTATAATTCTCAGGCAACTGTAGTAGGTGTGGTAATTTCCATTTTGACTCTTGGATAAGCAAGGCCTAAAACATCCAAAAATATTCATTAGTTTTATGTATTTAAGTCACTAACACAATATATTTTTTAAAGGTATTTTTACAGAAAGAAAAATCTGCCTCCAAGAATGTGGCTTATTTTCTTCATTAATACTCCTCTCATTTCCATTTTATACATGACTAAAATAGTAGTTCAACAGTTACCATTATCTATTTTAATGTATTATCGTTTCCAATTACAATATGATTTAATTTTTTAGATTAAGCAACCTAAAACATTTAAACTTGTTATTACTTTAAAAGAAAAATACCATCTCTAAGCATGCAGGGAAAATACATCTAATTGTATTTGACTTTAAACATGCATAGTGCAAAGGTTTTTAAAAGTTACATATTTTTTAAAACCAAGTTTTGACCATTCTGAAACAATTCTTTAGCTTTTTCTTTAGGGGAGATCATAGTTATAACTCATTTTTTCTACTTTAATACTTTATAATGTAGAATCTCCTTCCTAGAATATGTACAATTCATTACACCTCAAGCTCTTAAGATCTTTCATATCCGTAAGTGCTGGGTTAGAATTCTTTTCATACATTTCTTGCTTTAAGAATAAAAAAAATTTCAAGTTAGTTAAATTTCCCTGAAGGGTATGCTTTATTAACTATTTGCAGCTGTGTAAAAATACCGGCAACAGCATTAAATTTTTCTAGATGCTACTCCATTCACACTTAAAACAGATAAAATGTAGTGTGAGTCTATCACCTTAAGAAACTAAGTAATAGTCAATTTAAATGGAGATCATATCACGTTACCTACATGCAGCCACAATCTACCTAAATCAGTGGAGTAACTAAGCTAGCTTGTTCCTCATCAACAAGTTAATGGATAAAGTGTCCATGGAAGCAATTATAAGAACAGTATACAATATATCATTTGCCAGTACTCAGTGCCCAACCCTGGACCCCAAGGATGGCACATTCTGAAATGAGATGATTACAGTGGAACTCTTCCATTAAAGGGAGGGGATAACAATTTGTCCTCACTGAACTTGACACTTATTATAGGTTAGGCTGCATGTTATCCAGTAGCCCATAGCACATTACCTCCAATAATTTCCCTCATGAAGAGAGATGTAAGGCAACAGGTGGATGTCCATGGAATTCACTGATCTTAACATATACTCAATCATCTGAAAAAAGCAGTGGTATTTTAAATCATGAACTACAAAACCGTTTTTTTCAGTGCCATAAAAATTATGAAATTCATGAAATTTACAAATTTTTAGATGGCACCAGCTGGAAGAAAACACCTACAGAATGTGTATGCTCTAAACAGCAACCAGTATATATGGGTGACCTTTCTCGCAACTGGAATACATATGTCTGGGAAACAAGAGGTGGAAAGTATTTAACAGTTGTAGCAACTCTCATGATTACACCTAAAATTCGGTCTTGCCTTTCCTGTTGCGGCCTGTGTGGAGTTTGCTCATGGGTCTCTGAGACCCAAAAATTGAGAGCATTTTCACACCCCAGGGGCTGTGCCTGTGCCATGCCACAGAACAAATATATTGAATTACACTGTGAATGCTAATGGATATCATTTGGATTACTATGAGAAAAGGAAAGAAGGAAAGTTGAGAGGCTTATGAACATTCAAAGAAGGCAAAGAAAATGATTGGTCTGAAGGCTAAGCTTTATCTTAAACAGCACCATGCTGAGAAAATACAAATGAAAAAGACTATCAAGATGCATGAAAAAAGAAGCACCAAACAAAAAAAAGACTCCACAGGGAGCAGTACCTGCCTATCTGCTGGACAGAGAGGGACAACCTCGAGCTAATGTACTTTCCAGTATGATTAAGCAGAAATGAAAAGAGAAAGTGGGAAAATGGAAAGTCCTTCTGTCTAAAAGTACCTGCCTAGGGAGAAACAGAGTGTTAAAAGTTACTTCAACAGGGCCAGGTGCAGTGGCTCATGCCTGTAATGCCAGAACTATGGGAGGCCAAGGCAGGCAGATCATTTGAGGTCAGGAGTTCAAGACCAGCCTGGGCAACATGGTGAAACCCTGTCTTTACTAAAAATACAAAAATTAGCTGGGCGTAGTGGCAGGCGCCTGTAATCCCCGCTA